AAGCTGTGTGTCTTCGACGCCACCGATCTATCAACGCCGTATAATATGGGTTGAAAGGTGGCGTGCCTCGGCGACAAAAAGCAATAGTAGCAAGGTTCGCCACTGATAAGGCGTGTACCTCTCGTCAGTAGACCATGGTCGTGAGGCTTCATGTGTCATTGGCCTCGTTCAAAACACCGCAAAAAACAAGCATGAAAAAGTATTAGTTCATGTCACTTTATAAAGAGCATGGAATATAGAGCAAAAGATGAACAATGCACTGTTTCATATGAATTATTGAATATACCTCTCCGTTCTCGATCCTCCGAGCCCGGTGGTGCTCATCGAACCTTGGATCAAGAAGGGGGAACCGATCCATCCTGCAACATAAGGAATGCCAAAGCATTAGTATAAGTTAAAGCATGTATATGTGGTACGAAGTAACATAACAATAAAAAACAAAAGTAAACCAATGCATTATTACACAAAGCAATTCAATTAGCTAGCTTGGTGGATACCTGTTGTCTAAGAAGTTCAGGACATTTTCTCTTATTGTGGCCCGTCTTATGGCAACCAGAGCAACGGCTCTTTTGGGTGTCCTCTACAAAATATCTCCCAACCTTACTCGTGGTTGATCTACCTTTCGTGGCTCGGTCCATGTCCATCCTGAACCGCTTCCGCCGCCTAGGTCCTCTACTCTTCCAGAGTAAACTAAGATCAGCCACATACTTGGGGCCATCATAAGTAGGCCATTGACTCTCGTCAAGAAATGGCTCGAATTGAGGATTCTAGGTGCTCATTAGGTTCCTCAAAGAGAACTCCGCGGCCATACGGGGAGGGACCTCAACGTCAACACGTCTAAGGCGACAGGCTGTAATCATGTGGGAGCAAGGCCTATGGTATATGGTCGGTTTTCCACACGTACACTTGTTCTCGTTGATCACTACTTTATGTTTTCGAGCACCCCGATCTTTACCACCAATGTTAGTTCCACCACCCTCTAGAATCTCATATCCATGGTTGATCGGATCAAAACATGAACCCTTCATCGTTTAGACTTTTCTTTGAGAAAGCTAGTTCAAAGATGCTAATAGTGGCCAAGCTTTGCTTGTTTCCATAGAGACCTCGCATGCTTCTTCCTCAAAAGAACCAAGCATTCAACTTGTAGAAGGTGAATGAGGCAATAGCGATCCACAGTGCATTCCACGACAACCTCTTAGAAGGCTATTGAACATCTCTGCCATGTTACTTGTCATGAAGCCCATCTCCAACCTCCGGTGTCATATGCAAGTGACCACTTTTCCTTCGACGCCATCAACTCGCTCAAGAATTGCCTCGCCATCAACATTTGTGGCTAACTTCGTGGCATCTAGCTTGTCTTTGAATAATTGAACCTCTTGTCTGCTGCAAAACCTCCTCAAATAATTTGAAGTTGTCCTTTGTGTGATCATGCCTTATAAGATTCTCGAGCAAGGTGTCGGTGCACCACCGGTGATGTATTTGGTCATAACAGGAATCTCTTGTTCTCGACATCCGAATGCCAAAGATGCACGCCGGATATCACACAAACATCACGTCCCGGACCAATTACCACTTGTCTTACTAGCAGCGAGAAACCAACACCAACTATCCATGTCCTCCTTCCGAACAATATAATGGTCAATGGCACAAGCTGGTCTCGTGCATCATCCCAATATAAATAAGCATTGTGCCTTCAAATTTCCACTGTAATAAAGGTCCCAATCAATTGAGACGATGGGCTTGCTTGAATGCTTTGATGTTGCTGAACGCCTAAAAAAGGCCCTTCCAAATACCAGCTACCATTCCTTGTTTCACCATCCTTAGGTAAATACTGAAGTGCATCCCGGGATTTACAGACCCTCATTATGTTCAACATTACAGGGGAGGCACTCATAAGCTTCTTCCCAATTTCCAAATATTATTTCCGATTACTGCACGCCGCTTTGCCCTCCATGCTTTTCCATACTTGACATAGTAATTGTACCATTGGAAGATGATCTCAACCAACGCGGACACCGTAATGGTTGGCATATGCTTCACCACAGGGCATAACCGCCTTGCAATGAACCTAGAATTGAAAACAGTGTGGTTCTCTTACGCCTCAAAGATGGCACAAACATGTGGTTGCTTCACCGAGGTAATCTTCCATTTGCACCTTCCGTCTTCCTAGCACATACTCTCCAACCACACTGTTGTTCTTCACAAGCAACAGTGTACCTCTTCTCCTTGAATATGATGACCCTAAAAGGTCAGTTGAGTACAATGGAGTACTCTTACAACCATGATTTCAACTCATCCATGGTAGCAAATAATATGCCCTTCCGTATGATGAGCCAACCGCTAACATCGAAGAAGAAGATCACTTGGCCCACCATCGACTCTTGCCCTCGAACCATGGCTAAGGTCCTCTAAATCACCAACTAGTGGATCTCTCAAAGGCAAGACCCTAGACAATATCTCTATTTCCCTAAAATTGAGACGCGACCAACAGTCGATCGTCATCGAGTCTTGACTATCTCCCCTACGAAGGATTCATCATCTCCAGCTATCTCCATGTCAAAACGGTTCGTAGCCCTAGCATCACCAAAGTCTTCTTCACCACTAAGATCATCTTCGTCGCTAAACTCATCCTCAATAGAAAAGTCATCGCTAGCGTCGTCCAAACCTTCTTCTGCATCACCAATTACATAATCATCATCCTCTTCATAACTATCATGATTGCCCTCACCATCGGCAATCGGATTCTCCTCCTCATCTCCACCGTAGCCTAGTTGTGTGATAAGTATTTCTTCTTCAGACAAAGGACCATAACCTATGTGAGTGGGGGAAGATGGGCATGCTTCGAAGCTATCATTTCCTAAGCCAGACTCCTTACTTACTACTAAATCCAAAGATCGCACTTCTGAGGCCAATACAACTGCCTTATAATCATTCCATTCAGACTCGCTAGTAATTTTGAGCAACCGCTTGATCCGAGGACCCTTCGACGACCCAACATCTATGACACCTTCAAACTGAACATGCACTTCTCGTTCATTCCAGCCTAACTTAACCTTCACTCGCTCCACTAAGCGGGTCAAAGATGGTGTTTCGCAACAACTCCTCACACATGTCCGAAATTCCAAACTATTATCTCTTGTCCTAACAATCGGCCTCCATGATGCAACCTCACTAATTTATCCATCTCTGACCATCACACAACAAGTAGTGTCACATATCAATATATCATGGAGTTTCAATCCAATAAGTAGAAACTAAAATATATCATTTCATCTTTTTCAACCCCAACAACATAATCATTTCTAGTCATAAAAAATTAAAATGTAATGACCAACAAATAAATAAAATGCATACTAACCCTAATGACCAACAAATAACTAACCCTAATGACACCTACAATAAACAAAGAACCCTAATGACCAAAATAACTATAAACCAAACTAACCTAACATGTTCACCACATAAAACAGTTAAACAACAATACACTCAATCATCCTAAGCCATATATTTTGCAAATGTAAACACAAATATACCAAAACATCATACACCCATGATTCCACATGATTAGGGACAATGCAAGCACATCTACGCGGATAGATTGGAGGAGGGGAGGGACCATTATCTCGAGGAAGTTTCGGGAGCCGAGATCGTGGCACCTAGGGTCGATTTTGGAGGCTAGGGTTTGGTGGCGGCGTGGGGAGAAGAGCAGAGAGAGGAGAGCCGCGGTTTGAAATGGAGGAGGAAGAAGAAGGGGCCTCGCGAATCAATGACCAGGACCTCGGCGTTGAGTGAGTTGGCACATGACGCCGTCGGCGTGTCGACGCCCACCCAGACCCCACTCTTGCCACCACGATGCGTTGTTGGGCAGCTTTGGTCAGGCACGGATGGTGCCCATAGCTCGGCCTTCGATCCCGCCAGCCTTGGGCCTGTGGCATATGGTGACGACAGACAACGTCTCGGACCCCACGCCATGCCACTGTGGCCGTCGGCCAAAATTCGTCCGTGACGTGGCAATACCTCAAGGTCGTGTCGGTCGATGCCGAAACCCTCATACCTCGGCGTCATGTTCTAAGACGCCTAAAAATGGTCTATTTTTAGAAAACGTTTTGGCGTAGGTCTTTTTGTAAAAAATATTTTCAAAAAGGACCAAAATACAAAAATTTCACAGCGCCCGCCAGCCAACCTCGTGGTACAAAATCCATCCAAAATTCGCACGCGGCCAGGCACCAGCCAAGTGCCAAGACCCAAGAGCTCCGGCGGAGAAAGAACCGACAACTTTAATTTGAATTTCTTCACCTTTTCGTGGTACAAAATCAATCAAGGCCTTGTTTAGATTCTAAGTTTTTTCACTCTCTCTCTATCAGATCAAATCTTTGGACACATGCATGGAGTATTAAATATAGATAAAAAAATAACTAATTACACAGTTTGATTGTAAATTACGAGACCAATCTTTTAAGGCTAGCTAAGCCATAATTAGACAATAATTATCAAATACAAACAAAATGCTACAGTGCCAAATTCTGATTCTAACACTCATCTAAACCAGGCCCAAAAGATGGTCCTGAGGACTCCTGGTCTTGCATTCGTGCAACGTTGCCCATCAGGTGTGAACTCACCAACACATTCGATTCAACAGAAGCGGGAGCCGCAAGCCCCACCTGCACGGGGCTGCACCCACGTCGCATCGCCCGCCACGGGCCACGGGCCACGGCGAGGCCGCCAGCTCGCACTCAGGCTCAGTGCATTAACTGAACCCGCTTTAACTGATCCCCGCAGCGCCCCAACCGGCAACCGCCCCTCGCCGACTCCGACGGGCGGACGGGAAGCCTGCTGCCGAGTGCCGACCCAGTCCTCCCCTCCCTTTCCTTCTATAAATCCCGTTCCTCCCCAGCAGGCTCTGCAGCGATCCAATCCAGCCTCGCCGCCTCACCCCAGCATTGCCTTCCATTCCCTTGCACCTCCACCTCGCCGGAATCCCGAATCCCCCTCAATCCCCGATGGGTTCGCAGGCCATCGAGGCGCACCGCGCGGGCGCGGAGGTGTACAGCGGCGCGGCGCTGTGCGCGGAGAAGTCGACGGAGCTGCTGGCGGAGGCGCACCTCCCGCTGGGTCTGCTGCCGCTGGCGGACATGGAGGAGGTGGGCTACAACCGCGCCACGGGCTTCGTGTGGCTGCGCCAGAAGAAGGCGCTCACGCACACGTTCCGCCAGATCGGCCGCCAGGTCTCGTACGCCGCCGAGGTCACCGCCTTCGTCGAGGACCGGAGGATGAAGCGCATGACCGGGGTCAAGACCAAGGAGCTCCTCATCTGGGTCACCCTCTCCGACATGTTCGTCGACAAGGACGACCAGTCCAACATCACCTTCAAGACGCCCACCGGCCTAGGCAGGACCTTCCCCGTCTCCGCCTTCGCCAAGGAAGGCGCCGCCGACGCCGGCGCTGGCGACGCGGCGGCCAAGCCCAAGGACGCCCCCGCCGCCGCCAACGGTAATAAGGAGGCCATCACCGCCGGTAAGGCTGCTGCCAGCAAGTGAGGTGGCGGCGGCGTCAGAGAGCTTTTGGCCAGAGTATTTTTCCCTCGCAACGAAACAGCTTCAGCCGCCTGCATCAGCCGAACAGAGCCTTTACTTGTACTCTCCTTGCTGTAGTAGCTGTAATTGCTAATACCTGTCCTGTCTCCTGAATAATGATGTTTGTATCCCTGCTACCTGCTTGAATTTACAGTGTTTTATGAATGGAAAACGAGTATCCACTATCCATCCTTGGAATTGTGTCACGGGGTGTTTTTTTTAGTACTCATCAGCTAACCAGTTTCAAGATTGATCCTTTTTAAATATTGAGCGAAAACAAAATCCAGTCAGTTCACCTTAATTGAGTTCTGTCGATTCACACGTTGCGGATATGTATAGCTGTCAGGTAGTTAATAGGATAACAAGAATTTGACACAGACGGCAGCAATACAGACCAAGCAGGCGTGTTCGTGGTTTCTGGGCTGGTTTGGATTGGCCGGTGCTGGTTTGCTGTGAGAGGAAAACATGATTTGTTGTGAGAGGAAAACATGGTTTGCTGGTTGAATAAGCCTGGTTAAAACCAAGAAGCGAACAAGTACATAACTGTAGGCCATGAGCTCCTTGCTTCACCAGCAATCAGCGAAGCATCAGTCCTGCAATTTAAGCTCACCAACCCTTGCAACACCACCGAAGTTGCTCGCTTGCGTGCTTTATTTATAGCACAGACGAAGGCCCCTCTGAAATGCGGAGTTGGATTTTTTTTTACTGTTTGAGTGTTTTCTGTACGTTTTCTGGGAAAATAAGCTCGAAACTTCAGATGCCTGCAAGCTGAAACTGAAAGGAACTGCAAATAATGTTTCAGTGTGGGTAACTGTCAGCTGGTGTACTCCAATCAATGGAAAATATATGTTGCCCGTACTTTCTTTTCCTATCTGCAACTGCAATGCCGGTGTAACCCACAATTAGCGGCTCGACCAGAAGCCAGAAGCAAGAAAAAATCTCAGAAACCACCAAAACTGGGTGCTTTCTCCGTGCTCTTGCAGCTAACCTCACGCCTGTGGACTCTAGCAAGACCACGAGATCTCGAACGATGGCCAAGCGCTCGAAAACCAGCGACGTGGAAGCGCCCACGCCACAAGCATCCTGAGCCGCGGGCAAAGCAGAGGTATTTATCACCGCCGATCCCCAGCCGCACGGACGGAGATCGAGCGCCAGACCCCATCCCAATCCAGCACCAGTAGCAGCAGCGCAGGCAGGCAAAGCAAGATCATGGCGCGGTGTGGCAGCCTGCTCGCCGTCGCCGCGGCGCTGCTCGTCGCCACCGCCGCGGCGGTGCCGCCGACGTGCGAGCGCATCGAGTGCCCGGCGTACGAGGTGGTGGACAGCGCCAACGGGTTCGAGATCCGGCGGTACACGGACGCCATGTGGATCACCACGGCGCCCATCGACGACATCTCCTTCGTCGCCGCCACGCGCATCGGCTTCCTCCAGTAAGCGACCTCTCGCCTCCGTCACATCACAGTAGCACTAAGCAGTAAGCACGCACGCTTGCGTTCCTTATTGGGCCACCTTCAAGTGGGCCAGAGCCCAAGCCCAGAGAGATAATATGGTCTCGTAGGCCGTAGCCGTGGCTGTCGCTGGTCTAATCACTGGCTAAAAATTAATGAGGGCCTTTGCTCAAAAATAAAATAAAAATAATGAGGGCATGTTTGATACAAGGGCTAATCATATAGCCAGCTAAAAAATAGGTAAAATTCTTTGCTTAAAAAATAGACAAAACTAGTTCCCAGTGAGGCTAATAGATGAGTTATTTTTTAGTCAAGTCTTTAACTAGATATTAGTCAACTAGCTAATCAACTATAGCCGGCTAATTTTTAGTACGCTAGTAATTAGCCATATGCATCAAAGCCCTCACACTGCGTGTGTGTGCGTGCAGACTGTTCAACTACATCCAGGGCAAAAACGCGTACAACGAGAACGATCGAGATGACGGCGCCGGTGCTGACGCGGGTGTCGCCCAGTGACGGGCCCTTCTGCGCCTCTTCCTTCGCCATCAGCTTCTATGTGCCGGCCAAGAACCAGGCGGACCCGCCGCCGGCTGAGGGCCTGCGAGTGGAGCGCTGGGCCGGGGCAAGGTACGCGGCCGTGCGCCGCTTCGGGGGATTCGTGGCGGACGCCGACGTCGGGGAGCAGGCGGCGCGGCTCGACGCCAGCCTCCAGGGCACCAGATGGGCCGCCGCCGTCAACGACGCGCGTAGGGCCGACCCGGCCTCGCCTTACACCGTCGCGCAGTACAACTCGCCCTTCGAGTTCAGCGGCAGGGTCAACGAGATTTGGATGCTGTTCGACGACGCCGCTGCCGCCGCCACCAGTATGTGATGCGATTTCAAACGTGCTTTAAGGCACTGAGCGAGGCGTTTAGGAAAGGACGTGCATGATGCACCTATGCTAGCATTAAGTATTTCGTGCTCTTCTGCGCTAGCTACGTTTACTTTTGGATAACAATGTGCCTCTTGTAAGCAATAATGATAAAACTAATTCTGCTTGTAATCACATTTTATGGCACGGCTATATATAAATGCAATTTTGGAAGTTTGGGACCTAGATAACACTGTTTTGTAAGCTTTATTGTACCAAACATGTCATATTACGTCATCGCTAGTCGGCATGCCACATTGGCGAACGGAGCAGGTCGAAACTCGTTTAGATTTTATCGGTAGTGGAGCCTGGGACATTTTTAGAAATCCAAAAATCAAGAAAAATAAAAGTTTAGAACCTAGGTGACACTATTTACTCAGTTTACTACCACCAATGTATTTTACTCTGAGAAAAATCAGAGGTCAAAGTTTGATCACACCTTTATTTTAGGATGCAGGGGTATTATTAGCACATCCTCTATCCCAAAAGTTCAAGATGAAGGATGTGTATATTAATATTATCGCATCTGTGTAAGTATGTGGAGATTGAAAAGAGATAGAATGGAACTACTCTACTGATAGCACTACCGAAGTACCCTAAGAGCATCTCTAAAAGGATCTCTTTATGGCAGTTTATCACAAAATTTAGAAAACAAAAAAAAAACTTTAATAAACTCTCTAAATCATTCTCCATATCTTCGAATTTCTAAAATCATCTTTCGTGCTCTCCACTTAAGGAGAGGCTACACCACTCTCTATATTCAATATATGGCAATTTTTCAAAAAGAACTTTTTCATACAATGACAATTATGATAAGTTAATGGAGTATAGAGAACGAAAACATAGGAAAATCTATATATAAGAGATATATAGAGAATGTACATGAGATAGTTCTCTGGATAGAGATATAGTGGTTCAAATTTAAAGATTGAATTTACTCTAAGCAGTTGAGAAACAGGAGGCGTCCGCAACAGCCGAGCCGGGGGGAGGCTGCATGCATACGACGCAAAATGAGTACTGGGAAAGCCGAAAGCTACTACGGTCACTGGCACTGCCTCAGTCTGCAACCAACTCCTAGTATCACTCGCGCTCAGAGTCTCAGTGCCCGGTCCTCGCGCGCCCTGATCAGGAGGAGTGGTCGAGCGGAGCAAGGGCCAGCAGAGCCAAGCCAAGGCCAACCAACCGCCGCGCCGCACTGCGCGTCCAGAACCGCCGCGTCCCCGCGGCCCCGCCGTGGCATGGGGTGGCCGGTGAGCGTGCGGAGCCCCCCGGTGCTGCAGTCCAAGCTGCTGTGCCTGTCCCTGCTCTACCTCCTCACCACGCTCCCGCCCGCGCTCTACGTCTCTTTCACCGACCCCGGCCGCCGCGGCTGCCTCCGCCTCCTGCCCTTCCCCTCCCCGCCCAAGCCGCTCTTCCGGTACCCGCCCAGCTACGGCGAGCACAGGCATGCCCTGCCCACCCCCCGCGCGCTCTGCTTCAACCCCGTCGCCTTCGCAGGTCTCCGACTGTCCTTCTCGTCCGGCAAGTGATGTTGCACGGCACCGCACTGCACTGCATGCACCCGTGGCCGTTCGTTCTCTCGTTGCGTGCGTGGCGCATCTTCCTTTCCCGTTTTCGTGTTTCGTCGCATCGGGCCGGGCGTGGCCGTTGATGATGACCCGTAACGATCGGAGTCGTCCGCATCGCCTTCGACAAGTCAGCCTGATCGCCGTGGCTGTTCGTTTCATTTTGGATAGATTTAATTTACAGCTACTGTATACTCCATCCGTTTCAAATCTTACAGTCTGTTCGTTTGGTTGTGAGCATTGTCAGTAACGATCGTAAATTTCCAAATAGAACGGTATTTTTCTCTCACATGCACAAGGTAAGTAAGTCTTTCTTCACGAACCAAAGAACGAAAACGAACCAAATTAACCGAATGTGTTATTAGTTCGTTTTTACTTTACCAAATACATAGTTTAGTGGTATATCTACGTTTATAACAGCGTAAGAAAAAAAAAGTCAACGAATTACAGTTTGCAGCGGATGAAGTTTGGTTTGGCGTTTTCTCATTTGGCTTGGAGTTTGTGGAACAAAAATCTCGGATCATGTCAGTTGCCATGCATACGGTCTTTGGTAGTTGTAGTGATCCTCAGGTGTTCTTTTTTCCCCCTTAAAAAAGATCTTTTACACTCACTGCTTCAGCAGACCACAAGACTGCCTTGGAAGAGATCCATGGCCTCTGCCGCAACACCTCGGCGTCCCCTGCATTGCGGTACCAGAGCGGCGGGAGGGGCACGTTTGCGGGCAACTTCTCCACCGACGAACGGAGATCCTTCTTCAGCCACACCGACGACCAAGTGGCGATTCCCTGTGGGTTCTTCAGGGAATTTCCCGTCCCAGAACATGGTGAGCTCCTTGATCTTATTAATCGCATTCACACGTATGAAGAACTCGAGATTTCGCCGCGATCGTGCTCGTAATCGCGCGTCATTATTTCGCCTTCGGATGCAAGCCAAATGATACGCAAGTACCTTTTGCTGTCGCGGAGCAATCATAAAGAACACCACTGAATATTTATCGTTGACGGCTTTCAGACAGATTGGCCATGGAGAAGTGCAGGGGCGTGGTGGTGGCGTCGGCGATCATGAACGACCACGACAAGGTCCGGCAGCCCAGGGGGCTGGGTTCCGAGACGCTACGCACGGCGTGCTTCTTCCTGTTCATTGACGACGCCACCCGCAGGGTCCTGGCGCGGCAGGGCGTCCTTCCTGCTCGCGACGCCCGCAGCGGCGGCGGCGAACACACCACCGTCGGCGCGTGGCGCGTGGTGACGCTGGGCCGTCGCGCCGGCGGCGGGCGCCTCCCCTACGAGGACCCGGCGATGAACGGCGTGGTCGCCAAGCACCTGCTGCACCGGCTGTTCCCGAACGCCAGGTTCAGCGTGTGGGTGGACGCCAAGGTGCAGCTCACGGTGGACCCGGCGCTCCTGGTGCACGCGCTCCTGGTCCGCGAGGCGTGGACGTGGCGGTGTCCAGGCACCCCTTCAACCGGCACACCATGGAGGAGGCCTTCGCGACGGCGCGGTGGCGCAAGTGCGGCGACGTGGACGCCGTCAGGGCGCAGATGGAAACCTACTGCGCCAACGGCCTGCAGCCATGGTCCCCCAGCAAGCTTCCATATCCGTCGGGTAAGAAATGCAGACGCCGGACGGAGACACGACGAGTCCACGGCAGCATTGATTCTGATATCTTCTTGTTCGACGGAACGAACAAGATTTATGACACATGCTGCCATGTTCTGTTCTGATGCAACAAGAACAACACATCCGTCCAAAATTTCAGAATCTTGGATCATGATCACTGCACGTGTTGTCTTGCCATGCTGCAGATGTGCCGGACACGGCGGTGATCATCCGGAGGCACGGCGTGGCCAGCGACCTCTTCTCCTGCCTGCTGTTCAACGAGCTGGAGGCGTTCAGCCCGCGGGACCAGCTCGCGTTCGCCTACGTCAGGGACCAGATGAGCCCCAAGGTGAGCATCAACATGTTCGAGGTCGAGGTGTTCGAGCAGATCGCCGTCGAGTACCGGCACAACCTCAAGCCTGGCGGCGGCGGCGGCGGCGGCCGAGGGAAGCAGCAGGGCGGCACCAGGATGGCATCCTCGAGAGACATCGCCGGGAGCAGCTGCGAGAGGTATCTTCTCAAGATGTGGGGGGAGTCTGCTGACTAAGGCCTTTGCAAAATGCAGGCCCATTCTTTTTTTTATCTTTTTATTTAAATTTTGTTTGCACGGGTGTGTGTACATATGTTGGCATACTGCAGGGTAATAATTGACAAACTAGAACATTTTTGTAAATAAAATATACAATGTAAAAAAAATAGAAAATTTAGTGACAGGCATTGGAATTGAAACGACTTGACAATCAGAAGACACACAGATTCATCAGTCATCCCTGGATCAGTCAGCACTCGACAGAAATCTTCAGCGTCAGGCAAACTGCACTGCAACCACGGTGTTATATCAGCTATCAGGCGGTGGAATCTGCTGACCCCTTGGCCAGCTCGCTCTTGTTCATGAATTCCTTCCAGGCGTCCATGTCGGTCTTGGTCATCTTCTCGATGTCGTCGGTGGTGGCGGTGTCAGGGGACATCATGGCTTCCACTGCTATCATCACGTTGACCACAGCCTGAAGAAAACATGTAGCGTATTCAGATTCAGACCAAAGAAGTTCAGAAACCCTCAAACCCAAGACGTGTAGAAACATTACCAAGTGAAGGTAAGGCCTCGAGTCACGCTGGTAGCGACCTGTGAGCTGCTGGCAAACTTCTTTCGCCCTCTGCCAGTCTCTTTGCGACGCATGTCGAAAATAGGGCTCTAGCTCAAATCACCAATGGAGGAAGCATGATGAAAATGTGGCAGGTCACCTGATTGATTAGAACGTCGGTGAGCAGCAATCCGAGGTCAAGCTTCCTTTCCGAGTCGCGGGAAGCCGAGAACTCCTTCTGCAGCAGGCTCGTCAGCTTCCCCCTGTCGGTGATATGCTGCGCACGAACTCCACAACGTTAGCATCAGCCGGTGGCTGTGAAACCGATCACTGGCCTGCACTACACGCGAGTAGAAAAAAGGGGCACACCTCTTTGGTGACTTGCTCAAAGTCCATGAGCGTGGCGCGGTCCCTGGGCGAGTCCTCGCGCCGGAACAGCGAGTCGGAGAGCGCGTCCACGCTTGTCTTCATGGTCGCCGCGCCGCGCTGCTCCGCGGAGGCGCGGAGCGCGGCGTCGGTGACGCCGTTGAGGGCGCACACCATGGCCGGCTGCGTGACGGGGCCGGCGCCAGTGCTCCCGCCGCGCGCCGTCCACGAGACGCCGCCCAGCGCGAGCGCCAGCGCCACGCCGGCGCCCACCCTCGTCCCTTCGCCGGGACCACCTGCTGGTGGGGATCGCCTGGCTCCCCCGCCGCCGCCCCCTGGTGGTGGCGATGGGCGCGCACGGCGCCACCAGCCCTGTGCGCGCCGCGGTGCCGCACGGATAGCGGGCCGGCATTTGCTGCGGTCACCGTGGCGTGCGGCGTGCACAGAGACGGTTCCGTGCGCTAGCTGGATTGTTCAGCTCTGTCTGCAGTCAGATGGTGGGCAATCTTCTCTTCTCCGTTTCCTTTCCATCTTTTGCTTTTATGCATGCCATCATCTTGTGCGCCATGCATGCCCCGGCAGCCCGCAGGCATGGTGCTTTGCGTCCTCTGCCACCGCAAGCAAGGCATCTAGTGCGCTCTGCCTTTAGCTAATCAACTGAGCTGAACTAGGCCCTAAGCCGGAGTTCTTTTGTGGCCAACACATGTCCACTAGATTATGGAAGCGTAATTCTCATTTTTGTTTCTCATCACTGCACTGATCACGGACTGAAACTGAAATCATATGGATGTTCTCCATTTCATCCCCAGACCTATGATTTTTCGTCCCCATTTTTTCTGATTGAAAAATGATAGGAAATGCCAGGAGCCAACTAAGGGCCTATTCGCTTTGAGGAATTCTGGAGTAATTTGGATGGTTTGGAGGAATGCTGGAGGAATTTGTCAGAGAAAAACACTGTTTCGGATGAAAAAAAAAAGCGGATCAAGCCGGGTTTAAAGGCACGCGAACGGGGCCTAAGGCAGGGCCCGGTACAAGTGACAAGTCGCTTGCGCTACTGGAAGTGGTTTCATCCCACCCCTATTTCCCCTTCCCGTTTCTTTTTTTTCTTTCTTTCTTTATTTATTTAGAGGTTATTTGGATCCATTAGCGCTAAAAATGGTATACAGACAAAGATTAATCATATTATATGTTTAAATTTGACTAGATGACAAGCAAAGGTGATAAACAAAGAAGAGACATGAACATGTGCAAATCTGTGGTCTCATTTGTTTGAAAGCCTACCTACGTGATATTGAGATATTGTATTCATTTTGCCAAGCAATCTATGAAGACGTGTCAAGCTATATGAAGAAATCAAGTGGCATGATGAAAATGATATGGAATTGGTTTCATTGGAAAATGTTGAAGAAGATTAAAAGGAAATATCAATAGACATCCTTGTCTATGAATGAACAGATGAAAACAAATAAAATGAATACCGAAGATTACACAATTCTTAGAAATCAATGATTCAGATTTCAAATGAGATGAAGTAGAATGTTATGCATATTTATGGTCATTGACGATTCGCGTGAATTGGTTTTTGGCAAATTGGAATCTCAAAACATGTGTGCCTGTTGTTGATGTAAAGTAAAGCTTGACCCGAGAATGGCCAAATAGGGCAAATAGTTAAGCAAGGATTTGATTTCCAGGGACTAAGTAAGGGTGAAGCGAGAGACAGCTTGGTACCAAGAACCAAAATTGGGGTGAAGGACTAAAATACTTGGATTAACACCAATGAACTAATTAAGACATGAGGAGTCATGCAATGTGAAGTATCCAATCATTCTTGAGTATGCCACGCCATTAACATGGATGCAATCTGATTGAATGATAGGTCAAAAAGTGATCAAAGCTAAACCCATGAGTGAAGATAAGAGAGTTCATAAATGAACCGAAGAACCATGTCTCTCTTTATGACTGCTTTGTGATAATCTTAATAGGTTATTTGGTCATTATGCCATATACTCAACATATGTTGTTCCTGTGTGTTGATAATGTTACTGATGTAGTTTTTTCTCGAGTATGGACAACCCGCGGGTACTTGCTACCTGCTTGGAGATGAGTGTGCGTGAGAATTAGTACCCTATCGGGTACGGGCACCTGTAGGCAATATGAAACAAGTTTATACCCCATTGCCTCCTACGGCGCCCACGACTATGACCTCCGAAGCTACCGCAGAGTTGATTTATGATTATTGTACATTGGGATAGGTGATGATCTCTCGTCTAAGGAACGACTCAAATTTAAACTCGACACTGCGCATTAGTCCAAATAAATGAAATCCATTTTGAGTGAATACAACCACCAGAAAACATCATTGTGGCTCCATTATCAGTGCTACCGAATTTTTTATTTTTAACCCTTTTTTCGAAAGATATTCACATTTAGACCCCTGGAGGTTTCTTTTCATTTTCTGGACCCCGAGCTCGGCGCCGTAGCAATTGACGCCGAGGTTACACTTCTCGACGCCATAGTCATTGGCGCTGAGGCCCAAGGTTATTTTCTGTGTGGCGTTGACGTGGCTACTTGCGTGGCGTGGACGTGGCACCGGCTCGGCGCCATGGGTGTTGGCGCTGAGCTCGGCGCCACTTCGCCTGGCGCCAACCTGACTTGCAGGCGCAGCCCTTGGCAACTGCATGCAGGATATGGCAGGATGATAGACATACCCGTGGAGAGAGAGAGAGAGAGAGAGAGAGAGAGAGAGAGAGAGAGAGAGAGAGCGCACGACTGCCTAGCTAGTCCAGCTGCATGGGCACGCCTGGAGAGTGAAAGAGGATAGGAGTCCTGTGCTTGCACGAGCGTCTCGTGCACGCGTATCGATGAGAGCTTAGTCAGCCTGTTCGGGAGGCCGTATCGTATCGTGTATTATTTACTGCTGGCTGGTTTGGTGTGAGAGAAAAACACTGTTCCCGGCTGGAAATTTACGATCGTTTACGAGCAAGCGAACAGGCTGAGTGTTGTGCACGGTGGACCGCGCAGGCACGGCAGCACCAGCCCTGCCCCCGGCTGTGAGCATGAGCAGAGTTGAGTAGCTTGATTAAAGTTTCTAATGAATATAAGGCCATTGTATCTGTTAAGTTAAATGGTTCATATTTAACTAAGTTTCTAGTAGATCGTATTTAAATTTATGACTTAGAATCAATTTATTATGAAAATATATTTCATAATAAATCTAATGATATTTATTCCAATACATCATGGACAACTAGACCGAATCGAATAGAACATACCAAGACATAAATCAAGGAGTGCTACGTGCAGGAGCGAACGACGGTGGCCACCGAGACGTGGATATGGTGCAGCATGCGGAAAAATCAAGCTTGAGCCACCGTTGGGCGGCCGCGTCCGAAAAGCTGCTGGGACAACTTGCTTCGACTAGCTGGGAAGACGAGCGTGGGCGCGGCTGCCAGTTATAGAGAAGGAGCCATCAGGGGTCGCGTGCAGCCGCGTCCGCTGCTGCTGGTTGCGGAGAAGGAGCCATGGGGGAAAAATCTTTCATTCTTTTTTTGACCTTTCTTTCTTTTTAACTAGGAGGAAAAATCTGATTTACCAAATGTTTTTAAAAATATTGTGGTTGCATATAATGTATATGACTTATATTTATGGGTTTAAAAAATACTGTAACGATGTTCATCTTATTTATGCTTGATCCGTTTTCTATCGGATGGAAAGAAAATACTATATAAAATGATATTCATTGTTGATTTTGGCTAAATACATAACATCAAACAACTTGCAGATAGTCCATTGTATGACCTATGTTTTTAACTGTGTATGTTAAAATTAAAAAAAAATGCAGACATGAGGGATACATGTTTTCTTGTTTTATTTCTACGGCCGAGTAGTCTATGTCTAACATTGTTTTCTATTCTTTTTTCTCCCTTCAAATGAGGGGACTCAGATGTCTCAGATTTTGATCAAAAAAATAATTGATCTGAAGTTATATGAGCATGGCCCGTGGAGTTCAATCGCAACATGAATTAAAATACGACGCATCGTTGGATAAATCTCCAATCTTTTCATGTTTGTCTGAGTTAGAGCAAGATTTAAAGACGAATTGAAACACATATCACTTTAGTTAAATATATAAATTTTGAGCCAAAAGTCGTGTAAGTGACCATTCAATAAATTGTGTGTTCCATTGCAACATACATGCATTTTTTATAATAAAATACTAAAATATGACACTGTGCTAGAATTATATTCTTTCTAAGATGGAGTTAGTATTTAAGTTAAACCATTTGATAGATCATTGAACCTACTTTTATGAGAAACTTATTTGGAGATATAAATGTTATTAATATTTTTCTTTAAACCTACTTAGATCCCTTTTTCCGAGTTTTGCTTTCATATATTTTTTTATATAAATTTGATTTAACTTAACAAACTTTAATATAACACTGCTCTAAATTATGCATGTGCATTGCTGTTGGTAGAAACTATGGAGTAGTAGAAAGATTTATGCATGTGCATTGCTGTTGGTAGAAACTATGGAGTAGTAGAAAGATTGAAGTAAGCAGTAGAAAGGTTGAAGCATGACATGCATACTACAGACCATTGTGCACAACAGGAAGGGTGAAAAAGCTATCCTTGATACACGTGTACGAGAGGAAATTTTCACAAATGAATGTTTGTTTTTTCAATGCTCGTGCTAGGACTCCTCTGCCCTATCTGTCTCTCCAGTTGCCAGACGGCTGCACCTGTAAATCAGGTTGGCGCCAGTCGAAGCTCGGCGCCAAGATCCACGGCGCCAAGCCGGCATCACGTTCACGCCACACAAGCAGTCACATCAACGCCATGCAGAAAATAACATTGGACCTCGGCGCCAATGACTATGGCGCCGAGACATGTAAGCTCAGTGCCAATTGGTACGGCACCGAGCTCAGGGTCTATTTTTTTTTAAGGATACCGCCAGGGACATATTTATGAAAACATTTCAAAAAAAAGGGCCAAAAAGAAAAAAAAAATCGGTCACTGCTACGATACTATAGGAAGTCCTCAGTTGAACGAATGAGTAACAGAAAGAAAGAAAGAAGGAAACAAACCGCATAGAACCTAGACGATAAGGGGGAAGAAAGTCACGGCGCTGTGTGCATAAAACAGTCGATGTCACCTACCATGGTGGCAAAATACGT